GGAGGAGGAGGAGGAGGAGGAGGAGGTATGTATGTTAAATGAAAATCTACAAACAAACTATTATAAAGACGGAGGAGGAGGAGGAGGAGGGAGGAGGAGGAGGAGGAAGGAGGAGGAGGAGGAGGAGGAGGTATGTATGTTAAATGAAAATCTACAAACTATTATAGAGGAGGAGGAGGAGGAGGAGGAGGAAGGAAGAAGAGAAGGAGGGAGGAGGAGGAGGAGGAGGTATGTATGTTAAATGAAAATCTACAAATAAACTATTATAAAGAAGGAGGAGGAGGAGGAAGAGGAAGAGGAGGGGGGAAAGACAAGGGGAAGGGGAAGGAGGAGGAGGAGGAGCTGGAGGAGAATGGGGAGCTGGGGACGAGGAAGAGGAAGAGGAAGGAAGAGGAAGAGGAGGAGGAGAGGAAAAAGGAGGAGGCGGAGGAGCTGGGGACAAGGGTGAAGAAGAAGATGAATGAAGGAAGAAAAGAAGAAAGAAGAGAAAGAAGAGGAGGAGGAGGAGAAGGGTGAAAGGGAAGAGGAGAAGGAAAGAGCAAACTACTTCTGATGCCCAGAAACAACAGAAATGAGCATCTCCATGAGGTCCCCGGTCCTCCGCCTGAGCCTTTTCTCTTCCACCTTCTGCTCAGGGAAGCCCTGGGCTCTCCCACTGGGTGGTGGCACCGGCTAAGCCCAGAAGCCCACAGAAGCCCCCTCCCAAGCCCTGCAGGGTGGCCCAAGCATCCCTCCTAAGTCCAAGAGCACCACCGTGTGGCCAGCGCCAGGCCTTGCATCCTTTCAAGACGGGCAGCCAGCATTTGCAGCCAGAATTTCAGACGCGGCCCGTGCAGGAGCAGAGACCCTCTGAGACCCCCGCCTGACTTAGAAATCTCCTTTGTAGGCATGGGGGTGTTAGCACTCTCGCCTTCACAGGCATGATTTTTAAATTATTTTACGCTGGTGGGCAATACAAGAACCACGCAGGCTACTGCGGGCTCTATTTTTATTTTTTATTTTGCATTAAAAATAGCACTTGTTAGGATCTTATTGAAAATTGTGTAATGAATTAGGTTATTATTTTTAATATAACGATATAATATAAATTATAAACATTAGGGCTCATATGCAACCTGCTGCTTAAAGAGAACCAGTATCATGCTCCCGTCGGAGTGGCGGCTGTGGAGGAAACTGGGGAAGGGCAAAGTCAGTCTGGGCAAAGCAGGGAAGAGGGAGAACAAGGGAGAGGGAGCTCAGATGAAGACCAAGGCCCACCCCCTCTTCATCCTAGGGCATGCAGGGAAGAACGGAGAAGAGAGCAACGTGGGTTGCGTGGCTTACAGGGGAGGAAAGGGCCCCGATTCCCTTCACCAGGCACACCTGGGGAGGGAGTTTAAAGGAGAAGCAGATGGGAGAGGCGGTTGTCAGGTAACAAAAGTTGATCTTATCTTGTGTTGGCTGCTGTTATCTGAGTTCCTGGCATCCTCCCAACTGGTTGGATTTATTGCCTTGTTAGTTCATTTCTGGAACTCCTTATCTTGCCCTGCTGGATTTATTACCTTATCTTGCCTTTTTGGATTTATAATTTAAAGTTTTCAGTCTATAACATTTGGACTGGAATATTTGCAGCCAAAGGCTCTTGCAGGTTCGTGGGAGAGTTTTTCTCCAGACCGGAGAGTAACCGGTTCATTGGGGGCAAAGTTGGAGCTAATAAAGAGACCAAGTCTTATTCTCTGACTATGTTGCCTTTGTGCCATCACAGCCAGCTGGCAGCCTTGAGTTTACCGGATTTAAGCTGGATGAAATCAGCCAGGAGGGGAGAGGGGAGAGGGATAGATGAGCATTTATGGCGGGGGGAGAACTTCCATCCTCTACAATGTCATTTGTGTCCAGCTAGTCCTCAAATTATGACCATAATGCAGCCTCCCCATCATGGTTTTACGTCATGATGGTCATAAATCAGGCCAGCAACATGACTGATTCAATCTTACGCCTTTTTTGCAGCAATCGCTAAACAAGTCGTTAAGTGAACCAACGGTGTTGCTCCAGGCCGGTTTTGACAAACACTTGGAAGCAAATGCCGGTTTTCAGTAAAAACCGTCATAAAACACAATCCCACGGCTGCGGGAAGCTGCAAACGGCCGTAAATGCAAGCCGGTTGTTGAAGGCAGTCAGGCGACTCCAGGGGAAGGCAGTCATCAGAACTTCTAATCCGGAGTTGTAAGTACCCTCAGGGAGGTACCCTAACTCTGAATGGTTGCTAAGTGGCCTGTCATAAATTGAGGCCTGCTTGAAAGGATGTCGGGACGGGTGCAATGGCATCATGGCTTCACCCATGGTTAGATCTCTGGGTAGATTTACACAGTCCTAGGCTGCATAAACAGAGGGATAGAATCAAGATCACGTGGAGTGTTAATACCACTTTATAAGGCCTTGGTAAGGCCACACTTGGAATGCTGCATCCGGTTTTGACCATTGCCATGATGTAAAAAAGATGAGGAGACTCTAGAAAGAGTGCAGAGAAGAGGAACCCAAAAGGATTTAGGGGACTGGAGGCTAAAACATATGAAGAATGGTTGCAGGATTTGGGCTAGTCTAATGAAAAGAAGGACTATAGGGGGAACATGATAGCAGTCTTCCAATATCTCAGGGGCTGCCCCAAAGAAGAGGGAGTCAAGCTATTCTCCAAAGCCCCAGAAGGGAGGACGAGAAACAATGGTTGGAAACTAATCAAGGAGAGAAGCAACTCAGAACGAAGGAGACATTTCCTGACAGTTGGAACAATTAATCAGTGGAACAGTTTGCCACCAGAAGTTATAAATGCTCGAACATTAGAACATTCTTATTCTATTCTTAATTCTATTCTATCGGTATTCTATTCTATTCTATTTTCTATTCTATCCTATTTTCTATTCTATTTTCTATTCTATTTTCTATTCTTTTCTACTCTATTCTATTTTCTATTCTATTTTCTATTCTATTTTCTATTCTCTTCTACTCTATTCTATTTTCTATTCTATTCTATTTTCTATTCTATTCTATTTTCTATTCTATTCTATTTTCTTTTCTATTC